CATGGAAAAGCAGAGGAATTAAAGATTCAAATTCGTAAGTCATTTAAAACAACACCTCAGGCTTATCATTTTAAAAACAGTTAATGAAATGGTACAAAAGTATGCAATTTTGAATCGAGACAAAATCTTAGTAAGAGCACAGTTGGTGTTCTTTGTAGTTATGATTCATGGTAGTGGGAGAATGTTGAGATAAGAACCCAGTGCATCATTGATTGAAAGAATTGTTGCCAGATATGAGGAAATACAAATTTAAAGAAACTGGGAAAATTTGACCCGTTTTTATTGTAACAGTGGAGACTAAGAGATGTTTTGATCGCATTCTATCGATTGATAATTCAGTAATTGAATTTAGCACAAGGAATATAGATCTATTATTCAAAGTTAAATATTTGAGACAGCAAGAGAAATACAAATGGTGTGAGGTCATGTAAGATGTTAAGAAATAACAGCAAGATTAAACCATTTGGTGTCTCAAGCCTGATTCACCATTCAATAAGATTATGGCTGATTTGGTTTCGGCCTTAACTCCGCTTTTTAAAATTGATTTGTGGGATATGAGCATTGCTGGCTGACCCAGCATTTATGGCCGTTCCCTGGTTGCCCCGAGAAGATGGTGGTCAGCTGCCTTCTTGAACTCCTGCAATCCATGTGCTGTTGGTTGACCTACTGGAGGGAATTCCAGGGCTCAACAATGCTGAAGGTATGACAGTAGATTGCCAACTCAGTATAGTGAGTGGTTTGGAGGGGAATTTGCAGGTGGAGGTATTCCCATGTATCTTCTGCCCTATCCTTCCAGATGGAAGTGGTCATGGGTTTTAAAGCTGAGGTCATTTCATGTTTAAGAATAATAATAATTAGGTACGTCATTGAAAGAAAGAGGAACAAAGAGACTCATAGATCTGGACTGCTATCTGTGAAGAGGATAAATACTAACATGGAATTATTCTGCTCAGGACCCTAACTTATATGTTGGTAATTTCTAATTCTTGTCCTTGTAATTTGTAATTCTTGAACTTTTAAAATGTATGTAGTTATTCCCTATGAAAATCATTCTTTTCAAGATTACATTGAATTGCTGTGAATAAGTAAATGTACTTGTTCATTCTGTTCTTCAATTTTTAGCACTGAACTCTTTGTGACCAAATTGTTTCAATGCAGATGCAGATAGTGCAGCAGTATTTTGCATGATCAGTGTTTATACATTAAAGTATTGCAAAAGGGGAATACATTTGAAACTCGTGAATGAAATATTTCTAGCAATTTGTAGAGTTTATTTTTAATGCACCAAAGCTATTGATTGCCCATAATTTTCAGCAGTCAAGAAGTTCCAGGTAGACTATCCTCCTAGCGTTTGCCAGTGCTCCATGGCAATATTCTGGGAGATGAGTGATTCAACCAACAATTTCAGTGCTTTCCAGCAGAGAATTAGATTTGCAACAGTAACAAGGCTTTGATCTGTACTCAGACAAGAATGTTAGACTAAAATTACAAATAATACAAGCTCTCTACCGTACCAGATTCTCCTCCAATTTCATTCATTTTCTTTCTTGGAGTAGAATTTCAAAGGGATCTTGATCAAATGGGTCAATGGGCTGAAAAATGGAAGATGGAGTTCAGTCTGGATAAATGCAAGTTATAGCATTTTGGTACAACAAGAGTAGGACTTATACAATTAGTATTGTAGAACAGAGGGACCACATGGGTGCAGGTCCATAATTCTTTAAAGTTGGCATCACATAGACAGGTTGGTTAAAAAGGCATTTGGAACGCTTACCTTCATTGCTCGGTCCTTTGAGTATAGGAGTTGGGTCGTTATGTTGAGGTTGTACAGGACATTGGTGAGGTCTCTTCTGGAATACTGTGTTCAGTCTGGTTGCCCAGTCAAGGGAAGGATATTATCAAGCTGGCAAGAGTTCAGAAGAGATTTACTAGGATGTTGCTGGGTATGGAATGTTTGGGTTATAAGGAAAGGATGGATAGGCTGGGACTTTTTTTATTGGAGTGTGGGATATTGAGAGGTGACCTGATAGAAGTTTACAAAATAATGAAATATAGATAGAGTTGACGGTAGTTGTCTTTTCCCTAAAATGGGGAATTTCAAGACTGCGGGGTGCATTTTTAAGGTGAGATTAGAGAGATTTAAACAAAAGACATGAGGCAAATTTTTTACACACAGGGTGGATTGTGTGTGGAATGAACTTCCTAGGAAGTGGTTGATGTCGGTACAATTACAATGTTTAAAAGACATTTGGATGGATATATGAATATGAAAGGTTTGGAGGGATATGGGCCAGGAGCAGGTAATTGAGACTAGTTTAGTTTGGAATTATGTTTGGCATGGACTAGTTGGACCGAAGGGTCTATTTCTGTGCTCTATGACTGTATGCTGCTTCATTATGAGGCAGCACAGCTGATCTTGCCCTCACCCAATGTTTATAAATGTCCACTTTCTATCAGGACTCCTTAAATAAGGGACAGGAGGAAAATAGTTTTGGTTACTATTACAGAGAACTTTTTGTAGCTGTAATTTTGAGGATCTTTCAATAATATTGAAGTCAATTCCAAGAACATGAACAACTGCAGGAAACTCTTGAAAATTCAAAGTAGCTCATGCACCGAAATGTGTAAATAATTTAAATTGAGTAAAGTGAAAAACAGTAATCAATTAATTTGATTCAAGCAGCTGTGAATAAAAGCAAACATACTGTAGTTATTTTAGCATCCTAATGATAAAGTAGTATATTTATAACAATATTGTAGACTTCATAGTATTTGCTGTAAAGATTTTTTTACAAGAAAATATGACCTTTATGGACTTGAATTTAATCTTTTGGAATATAATTCCTTATTCCTGCCATATAGGAATGAAATCTGTCTGCAAATTTTTGGCCATTCGATTAGTTTATTAGGGTATTTCTTTCTCTCTGCAGCAATTTGCAACTATGTAATGCCTTTAATACTTCATTGGAATGTAATCAATTAAAAATTGACACCCAGTCAAAGAAGGTAGGCCTTCAAGGAAGAGCGATAAGTGGATAGACAGAAGTTTGTGGACAGAATTCCAAACTTTCACAGTTTTGAAAACTGAAGACACGGCTGCCAGTGGTGCGGTGAAGGAAGTAGCTGCAGCACAAGGTCAAATTTAAAGGAACATACAGTTCCTGGTGGGTTATAGTGATGGCAGAGTTTACAAAATTAAGGGGAGATGAGAACATAAAGGAAATTGAACACTAGGAAGGGAATTTTCGAATTGTAGTATTGGATTGGGAGCCAAAGTAAATCAATAAATGTAGAGATAAATCATGAATAATAATGTGATGAGAGGAGTGAATATTAAATGAGGTTATTTATAAAGAGTGGAAGGTTGAGGCCATGAGTTAAGTGTTCAGATTTTTGTTTTTTTTTCTGCTGAAATTGATTATTTGCGCTTTGTCATTCATCAGTTGAAGTTTGAAAAATCCTTCATTAATTTAAAGTTTTATTCTAATTCGAGTCTACTAAAGAATTCTACTAAACCAGTATGATTATGACTCCATGACTCTATGGTAAAACCGCATCCTACTCCACCATCTATTGTTGAAAAATAAAATTTAAGAAGGAAAATAGTAGGTACAAAAGAAACTCATAGTTGTTTGGTAGTACAGTAATTGTGTATTGCTGAAAAAAAAGACACATTTTGTCGAAGCTTTTTGTCTTGCACTCATCAGAATAATTTGTATGCAGAAAGTGCTGATTGGTAAATGGACTCTTACATTGGAGAATGCACTAGTTAATGATAATTGCTCTTTTTTTAAGGATACCCACTGTATCTGCGTTTTACTTTATAATTATTTCATTTATTTCTTTTGTGCCCTTCCATTTCTATGAACTTTGTGAACAGTAATGTATAGTGGTAATTCTGTTCATGATGATTGACTTTTCACTGCCAGGTTTTGTTTACATTTTAAGCTAGGCAGTTTGACCATGATTGGTCAAGTCATTGCCCTGAAAATGATTCGCTGATTGGCTGTCCCCTATTTTATGGAGTTGAAATTGGCACAACCAACACCACTCCTCTTATACAGAATGATTTGGTTTTCATGTTAAATTAGTATTCTTGCAAATTGCCCAAATAAGTGAAAAGTGTGTTGTTTGGTCCCGCAAGGTAAAACTGATCTTAGCTTCAAATTCCATTCCGTCTTGTTTTCATAACTACTAGAATTTGCTGCTTGTGTGTTACTAAATAAACTGGACCCTGGGTAGCTGATTCTCATCATTTAGAGGCCAAAAATTTCCCAATGTGAATAAAGCAATCATGCAAGAATCTTTTCAGTTTAAGTCTTTAATCCTTGAGTGCATCAAATACCAGATCTTTAACGTAAGCATAAAGGAACATGGATCATGCTTAGTACCTAAGTATCTGTGCTCTTAACTCTCCAACCCTCTTTACACCTCAGTGCTGCAAAAGCAGTCCTGGCCTCTCTTTTGCATTATCAATATTAGACTGGTTGGTTTAAAGATTATGTTACTTTATTCCTTTTGAAACAGTTGTTGTTACATTGATAAGTCTGTAGTCCTGTGGCACAGCATTCTTATCCAAGGTTGAATGAAAGATTGTGACCAAAGGCACTGCTGTTTTGTGATTTCACTCAGCATTCTCAGATGCATGATATTAGGGCTGATGTTCTTTTTAATTTGGGTTGCCCTGGCTTTCTTTTTTAGGATACCCATCATTCCTGTATTTCATTTAAGAAGTAAATGAAGTAATTTATATTGTACCTTTTTTCGTTTCTATGAACTTTGTGAACAATATTGTAAAGTGGTAATTTTGTATCTAACATTCTTTCATCCTGTAAGTTTTCTTTATTTCTAATCACACACATATTTAATTTTTTTAAGTGTCATTTTTAATTTAAGATCTCACCATTGTTTGGGACTATAGTGTATTTAGCTATAACTTTCAGAGAAGCTGTTGTTAAATTGCCTTTGACTTAGACTGTTTTGTCTATTTCCTCTGGCAGGAATGATGAGAAAGAGTATGCTCTCAAACAGATTGAAGGCACTGGTATTTCCATGTCTGCTTGCAGAGAGATTGCAGTAAGTATACAAGATGGACTTACAGTTTTTTTTTAAATTTTGTGACATTTTTCCTTATGACAGCAATTTTTTTAATGCTACTGTGTTGGATGGTGGGATGTATAACCTGAGAATAAACTGGGTAATCCCATTTGTAAAATTAATGTTAACATTAAAAAGTAGCAAATTATGGGAATTACTGGATCCTGTAAAAGAGAAGCACCTATTTTGGAAAAGCAAATCAGAGCAGGCTTTGTACACTAAATGGTAAGGAGGAATGGGGAGTGTTGTTGAACAAAGAGACCTCGGAGTGCAGGTTTATAGTTCCTTGAAAGTGGAGTCCCAGGTGGATAGGATAGTGAAGAAGGTGTTTTGTGTGCTTGCCTTTGTTGATCAGTGAATTGAGTAAAGTTGAGTTGGGAGGTCATGTTGTGGCTGTACAGGACATTGGTTAAGCCACTTTTGGAATGCTACTCGCAATTCTAGTCTCCCTGCCATAGGAAGGATGTTGTCGAACTTGAAAGGGTTCAGAAAAGATTTACAAGGATGTTGCCAGGCTTGGAGGGTTTGAGTAGAGGGAGAGGCTGAATAGGCTGGTGCTATTTCCCTGGAGTGTTGGAGGCTGAGAAGTGACCTTGTAGAGGTTTATAAAATCATGAGGGGCATGGATAGGGTGAATAGTCAAGTCTTTTCTTTAGGGTAGGGGAATTTCAAAACTAGAGGGCATAGGTTTAAGGTGAGAGAGGAAAGGTTTAAAAGGGACTTAAGGGGCAGCTTTTTCATGCAGAGGGTGGTACGTGTATGGAGTGAGCTGCCAGAGGAGGCGGTGGAGTCTGATACAATTACAACTTTTAAAAGGCAGCTGGATGGGTATATGAATAGGAAAGGTTTCGAGGGATATGGGCCAAATGCTGGCAAATGGAACTAGATTAATTTAGGATACCTGGTCAACATGGATGAGTTGGACTGAAGGATCTGTTTCTGTGTTGTACAGGTCTATGATTCTATGACAGCATTTTCAGTGTAGCAAAACAATTCACCTTGTTAATGCCCATGAATCAACATTTATTATCCCCCATTGTAGGTGTTTAAGTGAAACATTAAAAAAAATACAATGCATATTTTATCCTTCCGTGATTTGACAATGTGGTTTTCCTGCCTTGTTTATTGTTCTGAACCATTATGATGATCTTTGTATCATGTGAATTGTTGTAACATAAAGAAATGTACAAACCTTTAGAACTGGTGAGACTAATTTCATCTTTCTTCCTTCATTATAACATAAAATTGTGTGTACTAAAGGCTCAATCATTGGACTGCATTGATGTAATGAACAAGACCAGAAAACCACAAGGCCACAGGCATGCTGCTGGCTTCCTGACCGTTCATGTCATCAGCTGAGGCGAGTTTTCAGCCGCAGTAGGCCGCCTGCAAGCGGGAAGCAACTAACAACCTTGTTAAGTGGGAAGAAGTTGCATGGGATTTTCCAGTCAGCTTCCAATTTTCTGACACAGCTCGGGAGGTGCAGATTAACTGTTGAGGCAGCCTTCCAGTGCAGGACGAATGACAGCACATCTGCAGCGTGTCAGGCAGGTCGATAGGGTACAGCCTGTCTGGAGACTACCAACCACCCTGCAGAGGAATTCCTTCCTCTCCTCTCCACCCTCTCGACAGCGGTGTCTTAGTTTCTAGTTGTATTTTCTCACTAATGTTTTTGAGAAGTGGCTAAGAGGGCATCTTTCTGTTGAAGCACTCTCTGTTACTTATCATTTACTAATCCTGGACACTCCTTTGAAGCCAGAAAGCCTCAGATTGGACTTCCGCCTTTGAGAACCGATCTGCTGCCAATAATTGAACAGGGAACCTAGCTCCATACTAAGAGGAATGCGAAAGTCAAAATTCCAATGCACTACTTTGGCACTGGCTTATTTGTCGGAATTGTCATACGTATATAGATATTAGTTTGTCTTTGGGCTCCACGCCAGACCTTTGTGACAGAATTTACTCTATTAGCCTTCACCCTTCCCAAGGTATCCAAAAGGCACTGGAACTCTTCCTGCTTGGCTAGAGATTTAGTTTGAGAGTGCCAGGCTTGCACGCTGTATGTTAGCCTGGGCCTGTTAAGAAACCCAGTTTCTACACAGTGCTTCAAGCAGGTGCAGGTGAGGACTTGCTGATGAAAAAGCAACTGAGGGAAGTACTTGTACATTTGGCTGCCTTTCCCACAGAAGAATAGGCTGGAAGCAAGAAGCAAACTATACAAAAACGGGAAACATACTAACTTCACCGATACACTAGATCATCATATTAACATGTTGAACACACGGGGCAGCTGGTGTACACTGGTTTTGCTTTTAGAGTTACCTTATGCAACATTAAGCGGTATATACTTGCCTTATTTTTAAATATCATGTACGATAAAAAGAGAAAAAGGCCACAGTTTCAAATGATGGCTTCTGCATTTTTCCTTTAATAGAACCTCTATAAGTCTTCCATGTTCTCTGACTGTCCTGATCTGTTGTCAGTCGACAGTAACGTATGCAGGGAGTTGTAACCTGCAACCCAGTGAGGCCTTTAGTTGAAAGTGAAGGCTTTGAGAAACTGTCATGACTTTGAAACTGAAGATTCACAAAGACAAAAAGACATACTGCAGAAAAAACAATGTGCTATTTGTTTAACAATTTTCATGCACATTTTGTACTTTTTATAATCTTTTGCTACAAAGTTTGTTTCCAGCAATAGGACCTAAAGTTCATGGATGCCAAAGAAAGGATTTTCAAATTATCTTCAGCTATTATTTACTTTTTATAAATATAGTTATGCACTGGATTAGTCAAGAAGGGTAAACTGATTTCTTGTCTCACTGCTGCATTGGCCAGAACAAAGTTCAAATCGAAAAAAGATGATGATATTATGAAACTATATAGCTCAGTATCAGAAACAAGTTTAATGAAGATATAATACTGCAGAAGCTGGAAATCTGAAACAAACACGGAATGCTGGAGAAATTCAGCAAGTCTGGCAACATCTGTGGAGAGAGAAGTAAAGTTAACGTTGAATCTGGTTTGACTGTTTAGAACTGGAAGAACTTCAGAGCTCTGTCAGTTTTGACGATGATCATACCAGACTCAAAACATTAACTTTGTTTCTCTGTCCATGGATGCTGCTAGACCTGCTCAGAAGCAAGTTACCTTGGTTCCTTAAGTTAACAAATAAAGCACTTTTCTTTTGCATACAATAACCTACTTACTCTAGCAACCGTGCAAAGATTATTAATGAAAGGTTTAAAACATGTAAATATGATCAACCACCCTTCTAAAAATTATACAGGCAAGCATATATCTGCAAGTTTGTGGGCAAAAAAAAACTCTGCAGGGTGTTTTCTTAAAGTTAAAGTTACTTTGCTTAAGTAACAGTTAAGTTGGAAAAGAAAGGAATTATTCACATGTTGTTCCAAATGCTGGTCTGCAGCCAAAGTCACTTTCCACATAAGCTATTGACATGCATCACGACATGCTAGTAGTGCATTATGAACAACTCCTGTTATTCCTGGAGTTGTCACAAAAGTTAAAGATTTTAAAATAAGTACAAAAAATTCTTCAGCTTACCTGATTTTCAGATCCAGGTTAATAAAAAGCATGGAGCAGGTTTTTGTACTGAACACAAGTTACCATTTATTGCAAGTCATAAGACTCTAGATACAAGTAAGCAGTTATAAACAGTCAACATATGACTCTACCAATTATAACTTTAATCCCCTTATAAACTCCCCTTTCTCACTCACACATACAGGGAAAGAAAAGCATGGCGGGAAACAAACAGTTGTAAGGTAAAACAAAGAACTGTGGATGCTCGAGATCTGAAACAAAAGCAAATTGCTAGTGAAACTCAGCATGGTGAATCTGGCAACTCTTCATGAGAACTCAAGAGGGAAACTGTGTTATATTTTGTGTGCTGATAGTTTGTAACTGCTTACCTGTACCTAGAGTCTAATAAGTTGTAAGAAATAGTAATTCTAGTTTAGTACAGAAGCCTGGTTTGTGATTTCTACTAACCTGGGTCTGAAAGTCAGGTAAATTTGAGGAATTTTGCATGTTTATTTTAAAGTTTTTGACTTTTGTGATGACTCTAGGAATATCAGGGGTTTATTTCCAGCATACCGTCCCAGTGAGTCACGACAGATGTCAATAGCTTTTGTGCAAAGTGACTTTGGCTGTAGACCAGCAATTGGGACAATGTGAATAATTCTTTTTTGCAAATATAACTTACTTAGCGCAAGTTTGCAGAGATATGTTGTCTGTACAATTTTTCAAGAAGCGTAGTTCATGATACTTAGTTACTTTAAAACAGGGGTAAAACTGAGAAAGCATTTCAGTAGTCTTTGTTCACAAGATTTGTTGAGTTGTTTTTTGTTGATCAGAAGGTTTCTTCTCAGCCTTTCTTTTCCAAGTGCTTCCATTGGCTTGCAATAGATGGGGCGGCACGGTGGCTTAGTGGTTAGCACTGTTGCCTCACAGCGCCAGGGACCTGTGTTTGATTCCAACCTTGGGCAACTGTCTGTTTGGAGTTTGCACATTCTCCCTGTGTCTGCGTGGGTTTCCTCCAGGTGCTCCGGTTTCCTCCCACAGTCCATAGATGTGCAGGTTAGGTGGATTGGCGATGCTAAATTGCCCATTGTGTAGCTTAGGTGGGTTATAGGGTGGTCGGTGTGGACTTGTTGGACTGAAGGGCCTGTTTCTACACTGCAGGGATTCTATAAAAACTAAAAAAAATCTATAAAATAAAAGATGTCTGGTTCACTTGTAAAACATCTCTGAGCTATCAATTAAGTCACAGGTTTAAAGTAGGTTTAGACTACAAAAGACAGACAGACAGCTCTAATGCTGCTGGAGATCTGATTACTTCTCTTGTTTCTAGCCCAAGCTGTTCAGTTACCTGAGAACCAATCACACAGTTGTTGGTAGGCAAAAGGGCTTTGTCATTGATAATTGGTCACTTGTCCATAGACCAATCAACTTTTT